AAAAAAAAACCAAAACACCACCACCAAAAAAAACCCTTTATCGGTTTTATAAGGAGCAGCTGGTGGGGCGGTCTACGGATCTTGCAGTTCAAAGCTCTCTGCCATCTGGTCCCTTAACCTGCAGAGCAAAAAAGAAAGAGAGGAAAGCCTAACCATGTATCCTTTATAGGGTTTCTAAGGGGCAGCTGGTGGGCCTGAACTTCCGACCCTACAGTTCAAAGGTTTCTGCAGTCTAGTCCCTTAATCTGCCGGGTCACAGCAGGATTGCCTTGATGCTGTTGGTACAAATCTCCTCAGGGCGTCTCCCCTTGTGCCGGCCCATGTCGGCTTGTGCCTTGCTGGCAGGGTTTGAGCCTTGGAGGTTAGGCAGTGGGCTAGCCTGTGTTGCTGGGTCAGGGAAGCACCGGACGTCCCTCCCCTAATGCTCTTTTATAGGGTTTCCGAGGAGCGGCTGGTGGGCGTGGACCCCTGACCCTGTAATTCAGGTGACCTTGTAGTGGCACCCCAGCCCTTAGGGCCACGTCGGGGCTCCTGCTGAACCTTCTAAGATAAAAGATAATAATAAAAATAAAGGGGGGACCCAAATGGGGTTCCCCAATGGGTGCTCGCTGCAGGAGGTGGGCTGCCTGCCCCCGCGCTCCGCAGTTCAGTTGAGCGTGAGGTGAGCTGTTTGCCGGCGCACGCCCGGCAGGGCTGAGGGACGCTGCTCGGTTCAGCAGGGGGCGGGTCGCTCACTTTTGCGCATCTGGCAGGCCCGCGGTACGCGGCTCGGGCAGGCTGGTAGCTGCTTGCCTGTGTGCGCGAGGGCCCGGTGGGCCCTGGGAACACACGGGTCAATTGGGCAGGGCAGATGTGGCTCCGGCAGGCACAGTCCGCGCCTGATGACGTCAGACAGTCGCTGCTTCACTTTTTTCTGCGGGCTTTTTCGTTTTTCTTTTTCCTCTCCTAAGTTAACTTCCCTCTGTCCACTGTATGCGCAGAGATCCCCCCTTGGGGTAGGTGTCACCAGTGGTTCTCCCTGTTTGGGTCTCCCAGCCACTGGAGGCTCCGCACGAGCTGGTTCCCGCCCCGCCCCCCCAAGCCCAAAGGAGCTGGGGATGCCGCAGCGCCCTTTTAAAAAAAGCCTGTAATTCCTTGCACAGTGATTTCCCAAAGAAGCGGGTCTAAGGCTCTGGCGCAGTAAGATTTATGCGGGCCGTGAGACTGTGAATTCCCACCTGGGAGGGTCAACTCACGAGCTCCCCGCCCCCCATCCCGGAGCCCCCACTTACTCTCACCGTCTGGCCGCCCTGGCAAACCGGAAGTCAGTCCATTTAAGTGTTCTAATTTTGCCATATTATTTGATGAATAGCTTTGCTAGATATATGATTCTTGGTTGGCAGGGTTCTTTTTTCTTCCAGAGTTTTGCCTGTATCTCCCCATTGACTTCTTTCCTGCAGTTTCTGCTGAGAAATCAGAGCTTAATTTTACTGGTTTTCCTTTAGAGGTAACATTTCGTTTTCCCCTTGCTGCTATCAGGATTTTCTTATCTTTGATTTTGGAAGCTTGATTATGATATGTTTTGGTCATTTTCTTTTGGGTCTATCCTGCGTTGAGTTTATTCAGCTTTTTGAATGCTTATCTTCTCATCTTTCATGATGTTATAGAAATTTTCTTCCAATAGCTCTTAACTATCTTTTCTATGGTTTTATCGCTTCCTGTTCTGGAATTCCAATAATCTATAGGTCATTCCTATTCATGTTGTCCTACATGAATCATAGGATTTCTTCGTATTCATTCTTTTTTCTATTTCTTCTATTTTAGTATTGAGAAATTTATCTTGAAGCTCAATTCAGTTCTATTCCTTTGCCCTTTCAGTGTATTGTCCATTTCTGATATTAGTAGTCATCATCTGGACCTCTGTCTACAAGTTTTGTATTGTCTCCAATGCTATATGTATTTTGATTGTGTCTGTAGTGCTTTTCTGAGTTCTTCCTTATTTTCCTTGACTTTTCTGTGGAACAGTATCATTCTCCTGAATTATTTTTCAGGTAGTTCCAGTGCCTCTTCCTTAAAAGCATTGTATTGCTCTTCTTCTTGGTCGTTTGCTCGAGCCACTCTGTCTTGTTCTGCATGTGAGCATAAAATTTCTGCTTTTTAGGCATTGTGGTGTTGCTATATTAAGTTGAAGAATATGTTAGTGTATTCTTAGATATGTACCAATTGCCTCCTGATGGGTGTGATCATATGAGATCTTTGTTCCCTGTTTAAACAGCATAATTCAGACTGGTTTTGCAGATGTTTGTAAATATTGCTCTGTTGTATATAGTACCTGGCAATTACTTTGTCCAACTGGTGGGGATTTAAAGGATATAGTTGTGCATTGTCCATATGGTCACAGTTGAAGTGTTCTGTCATGTGATGCAAAAAGGAGGAAAATAAACAAAACAGAAATCAAAAAGAAAGAAAACAGTTTACATAGCCGGCAGGAGAGAGAGGGGAGGGGGACTGAGAGTTTTTCTCTCCACCAATAAGCTGTGAGCCCTGCCACATACTGGCCTCTTGTCTTCACAGCCACTTGAAAAAGTTCAGCTTGGCCACACTGTATACAGAGGACAGTGCAGCCCACCTCCTTTCCTTCCTTTTATCTTTCCCCTCTCCCTTTTTAAAATTTCTCCTATCCCATGCAACTGTTCAACACCCTCTCCTAGTGAAAGCCAATCCAGAGCTGGCCAGGGTAGACTTTAGAGATTTGGATCCGAGCCTGCCCTAGTGGGTTCATTGTATATAGCTCCTCTCAGCTTACAACTTCCAAGTGGTTTCGACCACATGAAAAGCAGGCGATTTCCTGGGGGTTGTACGCTGGTCAGGAAAAAAGGAAGAAAAGATAAGTTGAACCTTTTGTCTCCATGAACCATAGGTAGGTTTTTGCCATCAACTATGTTTTCTCGTTTCTTAAGCCATTTACCAACTTTTAAGATGGCTGCCACTGCTAGTCAATCATCCTCAGCTCTTGCTGTGTCTATTCAACTTTTTCTCCCAATAGGCACTTGATCCATTTTCCTATCCAGTTGTCTGGATGACAGAGTTCTAGGATTGTCCTCTGTATCTGTCTTCTCCCATTTTCCATATCCTTGCTACAGAAAGCCTTCACAACTTTGTGCCTAGTCTACCACCTTTCTCTGTCCCCTGCTTCCATTTTTCTCCTTCAAATTCTTTGTGCTACTTTCAACAATTATTGTCATAGATTTTACTCTTATACATATTACATACTATAACATATTGCTATTGTTTTTACTTGTAGACCAGGAGTGGGAAAAGTATGACCAACAGTTCAAATCCAGTCTGTGCCTGATTTTGTATGGCTCTCAAGCTGAAAATTATTTATGTTCTTTTAAAGGTGGGGCGGGGTGAGGGAGTGAAGAACAGGCTGAGATCAACCATGGCCTGCCTAAATGCACAATAATAATAAGAAGGTGCTTTTTGAATGAAAAGTTAATTTTTTTAGTCTACTCTCTCATTTCATAGATGAGACTCTGAGCTACGGAAACCAACTGATTTGCTTAAGCTTGTAAAGCAAGCTTAAATGTGTGGAACTTCTCTTTTTGTGAAGATAGCAAAATGTTTAATTATTATTCAACATAAAATTTAGCAATACGGTTTAGAAATATGAGATTTCAAATATATATGTTGTTGTTAAGTGATGTTAAGTGACTGGTGAGCTTGAACCACTGATTTTGCAGTTCAAACCAACTTTGCAGTCCAGCATATTAACCCACCAAGCCAAACCAGGACTCCATTCAAATACAACTACTACCTGTATGATTTCATAATTGACTGTGATTTAACTGGAGTTATGTTTTTAATTTAATTCAAATACATACCACACTCAGCATTTCTCAAGCTGAAACAGCTAGGAAAAAAGTTCAAGCCATAACATGAGTTTTTATATTTGAGCGATTCTATGTGCAAAATATTGAATGATGTAGGCAACATCAAAAGAGATGGAAGAAATACACAATGTAACAAAACGAATTTGTTGACATTCACTCATTTCTGAAAGTAGCGTATGATCAAGAACCAATGGTAATGAAGAATGAACTATAGGCAGCCCTGAAGACATTAGTGAAAACAAAGCTCCAGGAACTGACACATAACAAATCAACAAACTGATGCAGTGCTGGAAACACTGACTAGTTTATGCAAAGTTTATAAATTTGGAATATAACTACCTGGGCAACTGAATGACAGAGATCCATTATTTTCGACATTCAAAAGTGGAAATTATAAAACTATGAGTCCTGGTGTAATGCTGTAGGATGAGAACTGGACTGCTAACTGCAAGGTCAGCGATTAAAACCCACTAGCTGCTCCTTGGAAACCCTATACAAGGTCACTGAGTCAAAAATGACTTGAAGGTACTTAACATGTTTCATATCACTGTAAAAATGGCCATAACCTTCACTCTCATGCTTCACTGTCTTCAGCTGGGTTTGGTAATTCATTGCAACGACCACAGAGACCTCAGACACCATCTTACAGTTATAGCTCTTATTAGGGAAGTTAACAGGTGACAATTAAGCATTAGAAATGTTCAGGGCACAGTTCTTCAGTCAGGACAGCCTCTCCTTTGCTCTCTGGTCTGGCCTCTGCCTCCAGCGATGTTACAAAGCTCTTTTATGGCTGCTGATAACTGCTCAAAGGGTCTATCACTCTACCATAACACTCAGCCTTAAATGCATTTGGCTCTAGTTCCATGAGACAGTAAACCTACCTTGCCGATTAAGTGTCTGCAGGCACACCAGTTTACAAAGACTATGGCTAGAAGAGACACTAAATAATTCACTGTACCACAAGTAAAATTTTGCTAAGATAATTCAAAAACAGTTATAACAATTTATCAACAGGGAACTTGAAAAATTCAAACTGGATTCAGATGAGAATGTGGAAGACAGGATATCATTACAGACATTAAATGGATCATGGCTGAAAGCACAGACTACCAGAAAGATGTTTACTTGTGTTTTATTGATCATGTAGACAGTCAACTATATGGATAACAGACTATAAATATTGCAAAGAACATTTAATTTGCTCATGTGGAACCTGTACACAGAACAAGCAACAGTAATTCAGGAAGAACAAGGAAAACATGATTTAAAATCAGAAAAGGTGTGCACCATGATCGTATGCTTTTACCTTACCTAAGGAGCTCTGGTAGCGTAGTGGTTACGAATCAGGCTGTGAACCTCAAGGTTAGCAGTTCAAAACTACCAGCTGTTCTGGAGGAGAAAGATGAGGCTTTCTGCTCCCGTAAAGATTTACAGCCTGGGAAACCCTGTACAGGGTCACTATGAGTCGGAACTGACTCCACAGCACTTAACAACAACATTCAATCTGTATGGTGAGCAAATATCCAAGAAACTAGAATATATCAAGAAACCGTATCAGAACTGAAAGAAGACTCATGAGCAACTTAAAATGGCAAAAGACACGTTTTACTTACTGAAAGTGAAGAGGACTTGAAGCACTTACTGATGATCAAAGACTATAGCCTCCAGTATAGATTATAAATCAACAGACAAAAAATAAAAATCCTCACAAGTAGACCAATGAAGAACATCATGATAAATGGAGAAAAGATTGAAGTTGTCAAGAATTTTATTTTACTTAGATCAACAATCAATACTCATGGAAGCAGCAGTCGATAAATCAAACAAAATAATTGCACTGGACAAATCTGTTTCAAAAGACCTCTCTGAAGTGCCATTTCAAGTACTATAGTGCGCCTGGCCCAAGACATGGTATTTTCAATCACTTCACAAGCATGTGAAAGCTAGACAATGAATAAGGAAGACTCAAGAAGTCTCTGAATTGTGAATAAGAATGCTCAAAGCACCATGGACTGCCAAAAGAACAAATCTGTTTTGGAAGAAGTAAAACCAGAATGCTCCTTAGAAGAGGATGGTGAGACTACATCCCAAATACTCTGGACATGTTATCAAGACGCCCTCCTCCCCTACACCACCCATCCCAATTAGATGGACTGACAGAGTGGCTGCAACAATGGGTTCAGGTGTAACAATTGTGAAGGTGGTGCTGGATGTGGCAGTGTTTCCTCACTCTGTTGGCTACTATAAAATTTTAAATTACATGAGACTTTCCATTTCAACAGTTTATGTACTTTTTTACATTTAATAATTTAGTGGCAATCCCCTATATATAACAGCACTCTTCCCACTTACTTCCTAGGTTCCCTATTTCCATTCATTTTTCTTTCCCATCCCTTTCTGCCCTCTGAGCTTTATTTCTGGGCACATCCTGCTCTTTTAGCCTCATATTGTTGTTCGGAGGATTATGTTCTTCAGAGGTATTACTTTCATTTTAGGTCTATTCTTTGGCTGAAAGGTGACCCCCAAAGATGAGTTCAGATCCAGATTTGAAGTGTGTGTAAGGGCCATAGTCCTGGGGGCAGGACGGGGGTTCCACCAGTGTCCACCACACCAGTAAGTCTGGTCTTTTTATGATTTTTTTCGTTCCATAGTTTTTCCCCCATTCTGTCCTCAGGAGGGCAAGGGTTTTTGGTCATGTTGTCCATTGGTCCTTTGAACTTTTTCCTTGAATCTTTGTCTCTTCACTCTTCTTAAGCTTTAAAGGTCCCAACTGCTACTCAGCAAAGCAAATTTAGTTAGTGCATTGTCTTTGTGGTGTGTGTTATGACAATTGACCTAGATGCCTCTATGGTTCTAAGCTCCCAAGCCCAGTGACTTATTACCTTAAAGTGTTTGGTTATGACTAAGTTTTCATAAGTTTGTCCCCTGTACACATGGATATACTTATAGCACATACAAATACACGTATGTAGAAATTTCCACTGCCAAACATACACATACTCATGGGTGTCATTCCATGCATCTTGATCACACACTGTTGTAGAAACTTCAGATATTCATTACTGAGCTTTAAGGAAAATAATTCTTGAGTCTATCAATGAAGCCAGAAAAACTTCGGAGAGCTTCCCACAGCCTAATGATAATCACTTACTTTGAGCATTTGAGCATTATAACTCTTTATCATGTCCAAACATTTTTTCTGCTTCTTTAAACCAAGTGTGGCTACTCCACTGTTTTATTCTGACTGCTGATTTATCTTCATGCTGTTCCTTATTGACCTGCACATCAGTTTCTTTCATACATTCAGGATCTTCCCTGGTGTGGTGTTGAGATGCTTCTGCATCTATCATACTTAGAAAATCATAAGCAGGAAGAGGTGGTTTCCATTCCTCAGCAGGTAAAACTCCTAAAAGGAAAATAGAATCATGGGTAATAGATCAACAGCTATGAAATAATTACATGACGAGAATAGGAAACTATAGTTTTATTGTAAAAGACTGTAGGAATGAAGATTTTATAAGTTTCACCTAACTAGAAAAACTAGATTTTTATTCATTGCTTGAAAAAAATCACTACATTAGAAGCAGACATTATTATTTAGAACAGTATTTTCTTATATTTTAAAACATTGTTTTTGAAGAATTTGATTAACATCCTTTCCATGTACTTTATGAAAACCATTTTATAAAAATGATTATTTTGTTGTTGCTGTTAAGTGCTGTTGAGTTGGTTCTGACTCATAGTGACCCTGCATAGGGTTTCTGAGGAGTAGCTGGTGAGCATGAACTGCCAACCTTGCAGTTCAAGCAGCTTTGCAGTCTGGCGCATAAACCCATAGTGACACACCAGGATTCCTAAAAAGTAATTATGTTGTTGTTGTTAAGTGCTGTCGAGTCGGTTCCGACCCATAGTGACCCTGTACAGGGTTTCCAAGGCTGTAAATCTTTACGGGAGCAGAACGCCTCACCTTTCTCCCGCGGAGCAGCTGGTAGTTTCGAACTGCTGGCCTTAAGGTCGATAGGTAACAAAAAATTTAAAGTTGGTGTGGCTGCTAACCCTAAGATTGGTGGTTCAAACCTACCAGCCACTCCTTGGGAACCCTATACAGGGTCACTATGAGTCTGAACTGACTCGAAACCACTTAACAACAATGGAACTGGCTGAACATGGAGTCCTGGTGTGGCGCTGTAGGATAAAAACACTGGACCATAAGGTCAGGTTGAACTGCAAGATGGTTCAAACTCACCAACCACTCCTTGGAAACCCTATACAGGGTCCCCGTGACTCCAAACTCACTCAACAGTACTTAACATCATACATACAACCAGCTATGCCCAATTTTTCACTGTATATATGTGTGCTGTTGTTAAATGCCATGGGAGTTGGTTCTGACTTATAGCGACCCTGGTTATTTGAAGTGCCGACCTTAAGATTAACAGTCCAGTGCTTACCCTACAGCACACCAGGACTCCTCCTATATATATATATGTTAATGTATGATACATTAGCTAACTTTTCTTTATTTAGTAGAAAATATTTTGAAATAGTTTTATAATTTAGTTGTCCCATTCAAAATACTATTATAAAAAATTATATCAAGACATGTGCAAAGCACACCACTAAAAATCAATTTCAGTGAAAGGGTGTATATGCTGCTGCTGTTGTTAGCGCCGTCAAGTCCATGTGCCCCTGCATAGGGTTCTGAGGAGCGGTTGGTGAGCTTGAACTGCTGAGCTTTGGTTCAAACTGACCTTGCAGTCCAGCACATTAACCCATAGCATCAACACCAGAACTCCATATATGTTACATGAGAATTTTAAAAAGAAAAACACTAGTGAATGTTCACAGAATGCAACGTTTCGCATCTCTCATAAAATAAAGTGCCATGTTCGATATTGGATTAAAAGGATCTCTGGAGCATGGTGAGTTACAAGTTGGGCTGCTAACAATTTGAAACTACCAATTGCTCAAGGGGAGAAAAGATGAGGTTTTCTGTATCAATAAAGATTTATAGCCTTGGAAATCCTATACAGGGGACAGCAAGCCGTGGTATTTTCAATAGCTTCTTTAGACAGTGAATAAAGACTGTAGAAGAATTGATGCATTTGAGTTACGGTGTTTGAGAAGAACATTGAAAGCACCATGGACTTCTAGAAGAACAAACAGATTTGTGTTGAAAGAAATACAGCTAGAATTCTCCTTAGAAATCAGGATGGTGAGACTTTGTATCTAATACTAGATCTGAGGAACCAGTGCCTGGAGAAAGACATCATACTAGGTGAAGTGGAGGATCAGCAAAAAAGGAGCACCACCCTTGACAAGATGGATTGGATTGGCACAGTAACAGAGTAATGGGCTCAAGTTTAACAATTGTGAGGACGGTGCAGGACAAGGCAGTGTTGTGTTTTGTTGTGCATGGGACTGTTATGAGTGGGAAGCAACTCCATGGCACATAATCACCCACACATTAGATTAAAGCTTAAACAAAACATCACATATGTATATGTGTAATGTATCTGTATTCTTTTTACTGATAATTTAACTCAGGTTACAGAAACCTGGTGGTGCAGCAGTCAAGAACTTAGCTGCTAACCAACAGGTCAGTGATTCAAACTCACCAACCAGTTCAGATAGAGAAAGATGTGTCAGTCTTCTTTCATTAAATTTATAGCCTTGAAAGTCTATAGCTGGTTCAACTCTGACCTATGGGGTTGCTGTAAGTAGGAATCAACTTGACATGGGTTCACTCAGATTCAAGTATACAAAATTCTAGTAGTTGGTATATCAGCAGCCTAACTTTAGATTACCTTAGGGTGTCTAGATCCAGGTTAGCAGATGCCAAAGAGAGTTTTAAACATAATTATTAAGGCTAACACTGTAGCTTAATGGTCTGGTGGGACTATGACAAAATGCCTGAAACTTAGTATTTCAATTCTTCTTTAGCCAAGGAAACTGTACACACTTACTGCTTCAACTGTAACATAAAACTAATCATGTCTAGGTAATAAATGCATTTTTCAGTAAATTAGTAATGATATGAGATATTAATAACTAACATTTACAGAGCCTTTACTACGTACACCAGGTATTACTCATTTAATCTTTACAATAACCTCATGAAAGAAGTATAATTACTATCCTAATTTTATAGATAAGAAAACCACAGCATAGAAAAAGCCAAGGAACTTGATCAAAGCTACGTGCAACCCTTCCTCCCTGTTTGTCTCAGAATGCCACTGTGGAGAGAGAGGTCCAAAGTGTGATGAGAGGAGTTCCTGCTAGCACAGAAGACAGGACCCATGACAGAGAACTACTATTCAATTATCTTCTTACCTGTTGCAGAGGCTGCTGGAATAACTTGAGAATAAGAGCACTGATGTACAAAAAGGATGGAAACCCATTGGTGAGTGAGTTGGCAAAGGCATTAACTGTTCTGAATCTTTCTTCTTGGCAATAGTTTGAAATGAGGGATCAGCACTCTTATGGATGCTCCTTGTAGGAAATGATCTTTACATGTGTAATGATAATACTGAGATTATGCAGTTTTAAGAAATACTTTTTAATATATGGTTTTACTTTACTTTTAAAGTAAGTACATGGCATATATCGAACTGCCTGATAGGGTTTCCAAGGCTGTAACCTTCATGGAGGTAGACTGCCACATCTTTCTCCTATAGAGTGGCTGGTGGTTTCAGATCACCAAATTTTTGGTTAGCAGTCAATAGCTTCACCACTCTGCCACCAGGGCTCCTTATATTTAGGAACTAGGAGGACCGTTTTACAGTTGTAGAGGAAGAAAGTAGAAAAACGTTAGTTAGTGTCTTGCCTAGGGCAACACCATAATTGAGGAAGCTGGGTCTTGAGCTCAGGTTTCTGCATTCCAAGTCCATGGTGTTTTGTACACACTCTTTTATTACTATTTGCTTTTGAGAATTGGGTGCATTAGGTTTACAGAGCAGATCATCAGTTTTACATTCAGCAGATTATACACATTTTGTTTCATCACTTATCCCACTTCTCCCTGGGTTTCCTATCAACATTCCTCCTCCTCTCTTATTATTGTAACATGTGTATATCTCACTAGTATTACTGCTTCCCCTTATACACAGATCTACTGCTTGGCTGAAAATCGAGCCATAAGGGCGAGTTCAGTTCCAGACCTGAAGCGTGATTAACAGCCATAATCTCAAGGTTCCACCAGTCTCTCTCCAACCAATCAGCCTGGCCTTTTTAATGAGTATGAATTTTGTTCCACAAGTTTCCCACTTTATCTGGGACCTTTTAATATCTTTTTTACAACAGTAGTAGCCAGGCACCACATATAGATCTTTGGGTCTCAGAGTCATAGAGACTACTGTTCTCATGGTCCATTCGTACACTGGACTGTGTCAATTGTCATCATTCTTTTCTCCAAACAAGCAGACAGCCATGTTTGTACCTTGGGTGGTCATTCATGAGCTTTTAAGACTACTCACCAAAGGAGGATGTGTAGAACACTGTCTTTGTGGACTATGTTATGCCAACTGACCTTGGTGTCCTTGAGACTATGGTCTGAGCCTCTAGGCCCAGTGATTATTCAGTCCATCGATGTGTTTGGTTATGTCTAAGACATTTTCATACCTTTGCCCCTTAGTAGAGGCTCAATTTGAAAAGCACTGTGCTCTGGCCATAACATGTAACAAAGTTCTACATGGTCTATTTTGTGTGAAATCTATAATTTCAGTTGTATAAAAATATAATAAAGTTAATATGAAGCTAGTCATACTCAGCTGGCTAAAATGGAAGGCAAAAAATTAAATTTAAAAAGTCAAACAACCTGCCTTCATGGAACTTATTAGAGTCGGTTCCAACTCAATGACCCTGTGGTTAGCTGTCCAATGCTTACTCTACAGCAACTAAATATTTTTTTTTAAGTTACTGATGCATATTATGCACTGTATTAACTATCATTACTATTATCCTTAGCAAGCAACTTTGACAATTCTCATACACAGTCAAATCTGAGAATTTGTATCAAGGAAAATAGTAGAAGGGTTAGGAGTTCAAACTACATATTACTAGCTCCTATTAATTGTCTGTATATCTTAAGCTGAAAAATAAGATGTTAATATTTGTTGCGACTAAAAGGATACATACAGAAAGCCAATGAGAAAGCTGTACTGATTTACACATGAGAACATTGGCTGGGGTTTTCATTCAAATGAGATGTTCAGGGACTGTCAAATAGAGTATCACACTGGGGAATACAAAAAGGAAGAATCCAACCCTGCAACAATTAGAAAATTAAAAAAAGGATAAATTACAAAAATCACAAAATCATGTTATAAGCAGCAAAGTCCTAGACCTTGTACTTCTGGCTTCACAATTAAAGATTGTCCCATGGACAATTATCAGCATAGCAACAATTAGTATACTTACAAACACCATTACAATTCAATTTTCTTAGCACTTACTATAACTATGTGTGTTAAAACGGAAAACTTACTGATATGACTTTCTAGTCCTGCTTCTAAGTTCTTAAGCCACATTAAAAGGTTTTGTTCAGTTACAGACTGGTCTGAAGGAAATGCAAACACTTCGCCACCTGAGCGCAGATTCACCAAAACAAGAAGTGGAAGGGGAGGCAGAGGATCAAAATATACTTGAAGGATTCCTCTCCCCACAGGAGTATTCTTTCTACAAAATGAAACAATTTAACATGGTATTATTTTTCTATAACCAAATAAGTTTTAGAATATTAAAATTTAAATATAGTGTCATAGTGTAAGTTGATTCTATGAAAACATGTTTTAGCAACCCATAGATCTATGACAATGTTGCTAGATTCTTCAAAAGTTATCTTTTAACATGGGCACTGTTTCTTTTATAGGGAAAAAACAAAGGCAATGACAGTTCTAAGTGTAAAAATAGGTACAGTCCAAAGGCTTTGTGAATTTAGGCTTCACACAGTCAGTCGATTCCTTTCTAAGATTAGCCAAATATCTGATCACATCAGCTCATAAATAAAATAGTTATATAATCTAAATTTTACAAATGTGCATTTCCTCAAAAAACAAAAACAAAAGAGGGTAGGATTGATTGCAAATCTAAAGAGCTATTAGCAATTATTTTTGTACTAGAAAACCTAAGTTCGTAAGTTAGAGATACCTAGTTTTTCTAATGCAGTACAATATCATTCTGATATAAATGTGTTTCATCTGATGGATATATGTGAACTGTATTCATAACATTAAATAGAATACAAGCCATGCATTGTAAATAAATACCAGGAAATATCACTAATCAACGCACTAAAATCTTTGTGACATTGTACTCCATTATAGAAGTAGAGAAAAATGAACTGAAGGGAAATGTCAAAATACCACAATGTTTACTTTTCTATATTTGTAAAAATTTCCTCAGTAAACATAAATTACTTTTTAAATCAAAAGAAAAATATAACTTAAAAAATTATTAAACAGAATTCAGTCTAAAGGTCATCTTGGACCATCTTGAAGGAGTTTAGTTACTAAAATACCATCATGATATATATCCAAATCCACTAGCACTGAGACAATTCGAGTTCATCTGAACAATCTGAACCCTACAAGACTATGATCTTTATGGAAGCACACAGCCACATTTTTCTCCCAAGATGACATTTACATTGGCCCCATAATAACTTCAAAGGCAGAGTTAGTGTTACTTCCTAGTGAAAACGTAGTAGGAATTGTCTCTTCTAATATTAAAAAATTTAAATATACTTACAGATTTAGCCAGCAAGGGGTAAGTGAATCCAAATGTTTCTGTTTTATCAGTGTCAATATTACTTCTTCATACTTAGGATTTATGTTACCATCACTGAATACAATCAGTAATGGTTTCTGAACTTGTAAGTAAGTGGGCAGATTTTTCACAGTGATTTCTGGCTGTTAAAGCAAAAAAAAAAAAAACCCAAAAAAACCCAGTGTGAACAATGACACATAAAATAAAAAATAATATTCAAATCACTCATTTAATTTTAATTCATAAAGCATAATTAAAACATATTTAAACCCCAAAGACTCAGTAAAAAAGCTGTTAGACCATATTGGAAGATTTAGCAAAGTGGCAGGGTATAAGATCAACATATAAAAATCAGTTGGATTACTCTATAGTAACAATGACAGCACTGAAAAGGACATTAGGAAAGCAATACCATTTACAATAATCACCCAAAAGATGAAATATCTAGAAATAAATGTGACCAGAGAAAAAAAGGACCTATACAAAGAAATGGAAGAATGTCAATGCTCCTGGAAAGGAAAACTTAACATTGTAAAAATGTCAATACAGCCCAAAGTAATTTACACATATAATGTAATCCCAATCCAGATTCCAACGACATTCTTCAAAGAGATGGAAAAAACAATTACAAACTTTATATGGAAAGGAAAGAGACCCAGGATAACCAAAGCACTGATTAAGAAAAAGAACAAAGTTGGAAACCTCTCACTCCCAATTTTAAAATTTACTACACAGCTACAGTGGTCAAAACAGCATGGTACTGGTACAATGAAAGATACATATATCAATGGAACAGAATCGAGAATCCAGAAATGAACTCATCCACAAACAGCCAACTGATTTTCGACCAAGTGCCTAGGTATATTGCATGGGGAGGAGATAGTCTCTTTAACAGATGGTACTGGCAGAACTGGAAAGTGATTTGCAAAACACTGAAACAAGACCTTTACTTCACGCCCTATACAAAACCAACTCAACATGGATTAAAGACCAAAATTAAGAAGGTCATCATGAAAAAATATGGACAAATGTGAAGGCTCTAATTCAGAGCAGACAGACTACCAAACATTTTGAAAACTACACAAAAGTAGACAAAATAGATGATTGGGACATACTAAAAATCAAAAACTTGTGTGCATCAAAAGACTTCACCAAAAGAGTAAAAAGGGAACCCACAGATTGGGAAAAAAACTTTTGCAACAACACATCATTTCTAAAATATATAGGAAACTACAACACCTCTACAAGAAAAAGACAAATAACCCAATTTTAAAAATGGGCACAGGACATGCACAGACACTTGACCAAGGAGGAGATCCAGGCAGCCAACAAACATATGAAGAAATGTTCACGATCACTAGTCATTAGAAAGATGCAAATCAAAACAACGAGGTATCATCTCACACCAGCAATAACAGCAAAGATCAAAAAAGAAGAGGACAATAAATGCTGGCGAGGATGTAGAGAGACTGGGACCCTCCTACATTGTTAGTGGGAATGCAAAATGGTCCAACCACTCTAGAAAGAAATATGACGCTTCCTCAGAAGGTTGGAAATAGAAATACCTTATGACCCAGGAATTCCTCTTCTTGGCATTTACCCACAAGAAATACGAGCCATAACATGAGTAGATATATGCACACCAATGTTCATAGCTGCACTATTTACAACAGCAAAAAGATGGAGACGGCCTAAGTGCCCATCAATTGAAGAATGGATAAATACACTTTGATACATACACAGAATGCTACGTTGAAGAATAACAAGGAAGCTTCAAGCCACCACATAACATGGATGAACCTTGAGGACATTATGCTGAGTGAATTAGTCACAAAAGGAGAAATATTGCATAGGACCATTATTTTAAAAGATTAAGAAAAAGAACCCACCCTACAAGGGGAAAAATATTTGCTGATCACCAGGATGTATGGGAATGAGAGGAGGGACAGGAGAGAGGGGAAAATAGAGCACAGGGTAAGGAATAAACGCAGGATAGCTTGGGTGCTGGGGCGGGTGGGGAAGGGGAAATACACAAGAAGGGGAAGGTGAATGGAAGAACAAGGCAGATGGGAAGGCAGGTTTGCATGGGCTGGTGGGTCAGAGGTAACTGATGTATGTACAACCTTGGAACAACAGGGCTCCAGTATACTGGTATTGAGGCATGGTTTGAATGGGTAAAAGAGGGGAATAATGTTAAGATTCTGGGCTGTCTTTTGA